TATATATATATATATATATAGGAATATGAGTTTAATGATGAGGAAATACACTTAAAGCTGCCAATTGATCATGTTTACTGACACACAACTTCATTTGGACTAAATAATGCTTGCCAGTTTATTATTTAGTATGATAAAACATTACTTGGGCTAAAATAAAAAGCAGATGTTTCTTTTCTTTTATCTTAGGTAGTTTCATCTGTCTGACTAAACACTCCAGTGATCCAAAATAGATTTACTTCACAAGAAGCGGTCGGGCGAGAACGATCAAACCCAAATCTCCACAAAATGTGCAGCTGAGGCTTGAGATCTGTGTCATGCTTAAAGGAAATGAATGAGCAAAACTTAGCAACAACTTTCAGTATCTGGTTTATATGCAGAGCCATTGTGAGAACACAAGTACTACTACACAAAGTGCATTTACTCTGAATTCAAGGAGGTATTCATCAACTGAAATATCAACAGTTACTTGATCAGAGACGGTGGGGTTTTGCTGTGTGTAGGTCAGAGAAATATGACGTTTAAGAAAAAGAAGCTTTGAAGAAAAAATCGTTTGAAATTATCTTGTCCAAGCAAAAAGTAAAAAAACATAAGAGGTCAAAGCTCTGAAGGCGGTTGTGGATTAACCGGAAGATCCAGCCCCTATCACCCTGTGTGACACCCTGGTCGTCGCTGTGGAGTCCTTCCGCTTCCTAGGCTCCATCATATCCCAGGACCTCAAGTGGGAGCAGACCATCATCTCCATCACAAAGAAGGCTCAGCAGAGGATGTACTTCCCGAGGCAGCTGAAGAAGTTCAACCTGCCAAAGACAATGATGGTGCACTTCTACACAGCCGTCATTGAGTCCATCCTCTGCTCCTCCATCACGGTCTGGTACGCTGCAGCCACAGCCAAGGACAAGGGCAGGCTGCAGAGTATCGTTCGCTCTGCTGAGAGGGTGATTGGCTGCAATCTGCCGTCCCTCCACGACTTGTTCGCCTCCAGGACCCTGAGGCGGGCAGGAAAGATTGTAGCCAACTCCTCTCACACCAGATACAAACTGTTTGAGTCCCTTCCCTTTGGTTGGAGGCTGCGGTCCATCAGGACCAAGACCTCACACCACAAAAACTGCTTCTGCCCGTCCGCAGATGGGCTCATCAACAAAGCTAGTGACTCTCACATCCCCAAAACAATTACATACATTTACAGATCCCTGCTCAACTGTTCACTTTAAAAACACTTCAGTAACAGACTTATTTTAACATACTCGGATATTTTTTATTGTCATGCACCAATCACCAAGCAAGATTCCTTGTGTGTGCAAAGGTACATGGCAAAAAAACATTTCTGATTCTGAAATAAACCCATTGACTTCCAAACTCTCATGATTTATGAACTCAGTAAACATTGTGAACACGAGTGTATGGCCTCATTTTATAGATTATTGTCCCATTTGGAGTAAAAAAGAAGATAAAGCAGGGCGTGCTTTATGGCGTTGCTACTTAACGTTACCTTGTGGTTGACAGGTTGCTAACACGGTGTTGTCCGGTCTGCTACTCCGTGTTTTCGTCTTAGGACTTTAACCGATTCACAGTGTGTTTTCAGTTCATGTAAGGTTTCCGTTCGCCTGAACAATGCCTTATTCTGCGTTCAGTTGTACTTAACAGCTAGATCCACCATCTCGTATCACTTCAGGTTGCAAAAATGCCGAACTAAAGGCTTCTAAACGTCAGACCACGTCACGGTGACTACGTCCACGTGACTATTATGACGCGCAAAATGCAGATGGAGGGCATGAGGTGAAGAACCTGTACACTGCGCGAAGTGGAAATGGAGCAAAGTGAATACATAAAAGGGTTGGTTGAACAGTTATCGCCAGAAAATAGAAGCACATATTGGATGCGATCCCTACAAAATGAAGAAGAGCGATTTTTTTCCCCACAACTTGACCGATTTGTCCGGTGTGGAGGCGGTCACATGACAAATGACCTCATCCTCCAGACCTCCTTCAGGGCCAGCTAACATCGCTAGAAACAAATCTCCTGGAAGCTAGCTTCCTAGCTAGCTAGCTAGTTAGTTAAATGACTCCGCTCCTGCAGACTTTAGACGGAGGTTTTTGATGTCTGTCACCGTTTCTCAGTGATTTAAAGAAAGCGTCTTACCTTTGTGTACAACTATTTTCAGGACTTGAAAGCAGCCCTTATTTTTTTCCGAGACTTGTTCGGTAAACAGCGCAAACCAAAGCCATTGTTGCTGCAGTATTGAACCTGCCTCCAGTCGCATGCACTCCATCTGGAAAGCACGCCGATGTGTGACGTCATCTGCAAAAAACCTATACAGTCTGTGATGTCATGCTCACGTTCAACAGGGACGTCTAGCGGTCACAACTTGTCAAAGCAGTTCTATTCAGCACGTGAACGTTAAGTTTATCTATCCAGGGTCACAGGTTATAAAAGAGCACACACACACACACACACACACACACACACACACACACACACACACACACACACACACACACACAGAACAGAAGGGTTTCATTTTTCTTTATTTATTCTTTATTTAGTTTCATCACACTACTCTATGGTAACAGCAATTATATAATTATAGAGAGAATTCTGTGGGTTTAAGTTGGATGGAAAAATAAATCCCCAAGCAGATATTACTCCCTTTGCTCTCACTCTCTCACATCTGTTTGCATTTTCACTTTTTAAAGTTGTGTAAAAACTTTGACACACTGGCACATTTTTTGGAATTTTTTTGCTCATGCTTTTTTTTTGGGGCTCAACTAAATGGTTTGGCTTCTAATAGGGGATTGGTCCGTAGTAGGCGGCGTAGGCGGCGATGATTCCGTGCGTGTCCATCATGTCCTCACAACCCAGGTTGGCCTCACACACTTCTCTCAGGCTGAGTGACGAGAGAGAGAGAGAGGAGAGGGGGGGTGATCACAGAGATGCAACACACACGTGTCATTCACACAGATGGTGCTTCAGGACTACGTTAGATTAAAAGACACATCATGTATACGCTGCTGGGTTTGCCCACTGCTTCTTATAGGTGACGTGAAAGTGATACCTCTCCAGCTGGGTCAGGGACAACTCTCCAGCAGCTCTCTTCTGCCTCACCACAGTGGAGGCCTGCTCCCTCTCCACAAACAAACCTGCACATTTAACACAACTTTTGTATATGTACATACTGTATATGTATACACACGATGTCTACCGATCAAGCCAAATCAAATGCATGTGGAAGATTCAACGTATGAATAGCAACTCGGCAGAAATAACAATTTTGTGTTAAAGCATGAAAGAAAGTCTAGGTGCTGCAAGTAAAATGTGGATTAATATAGAATGTATTCAATATGTGAAATATAAATTCAAACTGTCTTTATCATCATTCTACATGTATATAAGAAATCAGAGTAGTGTTAAACAAAATATTAAACTAATAATCAGTTTTTTATTTCATTAATTCGTCTAGAACTCTCAGATGTTGTCCAGCCAAACTGTGGGAATCATCAGGTTCAGTCCTTGAGGCAAAATAACTCAAATATGTTACATATTAATACAACTTTGATCATAAAGTCAAAACATGATCTTACCCTCCTGAGCAGGTCCGTCAGCAGCCTGGGAGCCAGTGGAGGCATCTGTCAGAAATATGAATAATAACGATATGTTTTTATTTTATTTGATCATTTTCAATCCAGGAAGAGTCACCCTTTCAAGTCCTTACTTTTGACCTCTGTCTTTACTTAAGCCGGAACTAAATACATCAGTTTGTTTGCAGAGCAGCATATACTTCAAATCCTGTTATAATATACTATAATAAAGAGCTTTGTTGTTGTGCAGCTCTTACCTGAAGTCAGACAGATGACAGCCAGGGAGCAGAGAACCAAGACGGCCAAAGTCTTCATCTCTCAGCTTCTTTCTTCAGCGTCAGCAGTTATCAGGCAGCAAGTAGACTTCAGCAGCTGTGTCTCTTTCTTTCTCTTATATGCATATATACACACTGGAATTATAGATGCGGCCCTCTGTGTGTGATTGGTTAGGGAATCATATATCGCACTCCCATGCAGGTGCAGAGATACACACCTCCACAAGAGTTTATTCTTTTGCATAAATGGGGATAAAGGTGAACACATAGAGGAAAAAAAAGTCTGCTCCCAAAAGGCAGGTATTTGTTTTAAAGCAAAGGTGACGAGAAAGCAAATGTGTGGGCGACTCTCAAATGTCAAATATGAGCCACTGTGTTCTTCAATGAAAAATATTTGACACCTTGTTTAGGCCGTTTGAGCTGCTGCTGAGAAACCAGATCTCTTCTTGCTCAAGAAATGCTCAAACACTATAACAGAGATGTAAAATGCAGTGAAATTGCGTCACCGGACTATTAGTAATAAAACATTTGATGAAATGTTAAGGATGCCATGCCAGCTGGCTACCTGGAGAGGTCCCAGTTTTACAGCACACCCACACACTTTCACATGCAGCTCAGTAAGTGCATACAGCAGAGAAAAGCATGTAACACAAACTGAAACGGGATAAAACCGCCGTCCCACATTATGCGACATGATTTGAATCTGAGGGCCCTCTCTTTTTATTGCAAGCCGTGGTGATTTCCTACAGAAAGGAAAAGCATTTAGAAACAAACCCAAGTGTGTTTGAAGCTTTGTGGAGCGGTAATCTGAAATGCGGAAAGTGCTTTTTTTTTTCTTCTCCAAAAACAAGTGGGTGGTTTGCCAGTAAAGCGGTGGGAAAAGCTTCATACAGTGGAGTTGGACATGTTAATTAAAACACCTCGAGAGGAGTGTTTTTGTAAACTTTCACCATTTAAAAACAACAAAAAACATCTAATTCTTTTCTATTTTATTTGTTAATTAAAAAGGGACCATTGCTGGTAATGTTGAAGCTGAACATCTGATGCACTAGAAAATGTCTTAATCTGTGATGTGAAAGCCTCCCTCCAGATTGTGTTCTCCTCTGCTCTTCTTGTTGCTTTTCCTGACTGGATATTTAGATTCCGGACTGGTCCTGACAGTATTCTATGGGGTGTAATTTGAGCCGGTGCCTTGACAGAGGAGGATTCAACCTCAGGACGACTTGAATTGTGCTGACCGGAGGCCTTCTGGCGACACGACAAAACAAACATCCAGTACGTCTGTCTTTTTAAGGCCCTGCTGTGCCATGCAGACGTCTGCTGCCTGCAGTGTGTCAGTCTGCAGCAGCGAGGATGCTGATGCATTCCTCCTGAGATTACAAGAAGCCAGATCTTCACCACACATGTTTAAATAGCCGTGTTAGCTGGTTTGAACAAAAAATAGCAAATATTTTCTCACAATATGTGCAAGTGAATGCTAAAGTTACATTTCTGAGACAGTATGCACACCATCACCTAACTCAATAACATAATAGCTAACCAACGATATGAAATGTATTCTCATCTGACGAGCTGACTTTACATTACGATAATAGTGTAATAATGTATTAGCTTGCTGTAGCACTAGCTAGTTAGCTTAAATTCTCTGCTGTATGCATCGTGGTGATGTGTGTGTTTTGTAACATTTATGTTGCAGTTAAAGTAGAAGCAATGTAAAAAAATTGAAAATAAGTTAATCTTATGCATAAATTCCAAGTTTGTATCGATCAAAATGACAAGATCCAAACGGAAAAGAACATTAGTTTTGCGTTTTGTTTAGTGATGTGTTTACTTGAGCGTAGGCCTGCATCATGTGTGCATATTGTACACATTTATTCCACAAATATAGTTACTAGTTACTTTGCAGATTAAGATTTTTCATCAAAAATATGAACAGTTTATGAGATCAAATACATTGTTTTTACCCCTTTTTAGGTGTGCAGGTGTGCAGTTTAGGGCGCTTTCCCCCGTTTCAGATGTCTTTGAGTTGTTCCACCAAAGGGACATTTCTTCACGAAACTTCTCAGATTGCCTAATAATTAATAAAAGTCAATCATTTGTACAGATTTCCAAACCCATTAATCATCTTATGAACTAAACAATGGTTTATAAAGCAGAAAACCAACTGAACACCCTTTCGCTCATCCCTCCCCTTTTTCCCAAGCGCGTAGAGAACTACGGTGGCCTTCAGGTACAAATAATAATGTGAAAGCCACTGTTTTGTTTGTCCTTTCTGGGCTACTGTAGAAACATGGCGGACTCTGTGAAGAGAACCCACTCCCTATGTAGATATGAAGAGCTCATTGTAAGCTACAAAAACACAACGATTCTTGGTTTCAGGTGACTTTGCACCAATGAAAACATGGCTTTAGAGCTGTAAAATTAGCCATTTCATCTCGAGCAATCACACATATTGGACCAATACTATCATTCCAACATCTGCCATGCATTGCAAACACTGACACTGAACGCCAAAAGTTCTGACACACCCATGTGGCAAAGAAATTGCACAAACAGGATTAAGATAAACCCCAATAAAGGGGATTTCATTTATTTATTCAAAGCAATGGAAAACAATAAATCACTGACAGCAGTGCTGGCCTGGATAAATAGGTGGATAATGTGAGAAACGGTTAGTGAGCGGAACACTTCAGTTGTGCATAAAGCGCATGAAGCTCATAAATGCTGTGAAGGTGTGATAATAGCGGATAAAGGTTATCCTGAGATTACACAAGAGATGGGCCGTGAATTTCTACACACCTGTAAGTGACACTGGATGCCTCTGTGTTTACAGAACTTGTTTTTCTTCCAGGATCCATTCCACATCCGCAAGAGGCCACAAAAACAACAAATAAATCATAGAAAAGTTGTGATATGGGGGGGGTAAAGGAATGCGCATTCATTCCCAGATGATAATGATGATTCCGCTTTTCGACAGACAGATACTTTCTGTTTAGTACCGACGAGTCACGGCTGGTCTCTGGGGTTGATTTCGGGAGCTGAAGTATCTCTGGTAGGCCTGCTGAAAGCCGTGGCGATGGGCGTAGAAGCGGCAGGGAGAGTAGTCCTCACAGGTCTCCGCACGCCTCTCCGCTGGAGACTTTATCGTCCTGGACGAGATGGAAGGGGGGAGGGCAGAGATACATTACAAAGGCAGACAGAGATAGTTAGAGGGGAACAATGGTGAGAAGAAGGAAGAGGATTGTAATCAGAAACAGCTTGTGTCTTTGCTTTGTTGCGTTTCCTCTTAAATTCTTAAGATTCTAGCATTTAGCTTCAGTCTCTCTGTCACGGAGACTTTTTTAATAATGTAATTAAGTTTGTGCATGCCTGTCTCTGTGGTTTTTACATATGTAGGGTGCACAAGGGTAATGTGCTGCGCATGCATGTCTGTGGTTGTGTCTTCTACCTCATGAAGTTGTAATAGCTGTGGCCGTTCCCTCTGGCTGGGTTGTATACGTTGCCCCTCTGTGGCGTGATGAACGAGTTGGCTTGGTTCGGAGGCACAAACAGATCTGGAAGCACAAAACTTTTACTAGACAAAAAGTCTAGATTGTGAATCGGGTATAAGGCATGCCCATCGTGCAAATGATCTGAGTCCGGCGACATAAAGGGCAGGGGTATGTTAGCCAGGGTTAAATACATTATGCTGTAGAGCAGGCGGCGTCTTGTTGGTTAGAACTTGCATGCATGTTTTTCCATGAACGAGAGACAACATTTAATCACCTTCAACGGATTCTGTGCTTTCATGAGAGTCTACGGGAAAAACATGGAGTCGGGTTAATCATGAATGATGATGATGATGATGAATGGGATGTATTATGTGTTTTGAATGAATAGTGGCTGCTGAGCAACAGAGGAGCCGAGGACGTCGGGGAGGACCCGTACCGTAGCAGACGCAGAAAGAGACCGCGACACAGAGTGCCAGAAACTGAAGAAGGCTCCTCATCCTGGGGGCTTGTGTAATCCGCTCTGTGGCACTGGACAAAGAGGAGAAAGGTGTTTCAGTGAGTCACGCCGGCACCGCAGTAAGACAGACAGGAGAAAGAGAGAGAAAGTGGCTTTGATTTCACAACTGCGGGTAAACAGAGAACCACAAGCAGGGATAGGAGGCTGAAAGGGGCAACGTTTCTAAATCTGGGCCCGTGGTTTAGTGCATACGACCGGCACACATACCAAAGTTATACATATATATATTCATAGGGCCAGATCCTCACTGAGATAGGACTTTTCGGTGCATTCACTGGACTCAAGTCAGAGCCGGTCCACAAACACCCACTCAGTAGCTGGAGCCCCACTTTGAGGGGAACAACCAGAGCTGTGTGTAGCTGACAACTAATAGAGTCTACATAAACTTAATGCAGGGAGATAAGTGGAAGTTATATAGAGGCAGGTATTCTGGGTGGCTCTGCACACATACACATCTGCACTCCGTCACGTACATAAAGGGACCTCCGGTAAGTTGTGTGACACCTGAACAAACAGTAATGCCAGATGTGTGTAACAGCCCAACACACACACACACACACACACACACACACACACACACACACACACTCTCTATTCACATGCCTGCAGTGCAGAAAAGCTTTCATCCCCATCTTCTGTTTGTGGGATTTGGACGGGATTCTGTTTCAGCAGCCCTCCTTTTTTTCTCAGTCAATAGCAGCTTTCATTATACATAAACACACTCGCACGCACAACTCACTGACACATACTCACACACACACGCAGCACTCATAACATCAGCCCCTCAGGCATCTCTTACCGGCATCTCTTACCCGGACTCACAGTGGGCACAGAAACAGAGAGCCTCGGGCCCAAAGTTCACAAAGACTGGCATCTAGACGAGTGTGAATGTGTGTGTGTGTGTGTGTGTCAGGTGCTGACAGAGTCAAAACAGTGAGTTTTATGTCGGTCTTAGCAGGGGTCCTGGTGGGATCATTTTCCCCACTGAATGTGCCCACCTCACTGCAAAGCCACAGGCATGTTGTTGGGCAGGCACAGAACCAACCTGAGGTTGCATGTGAAGTACTCTGCACTTACAGACGAGTATTGTAGGACTATTGTACTATGAGGATTACATATTCCAGCAATATACCAAAAAAAAAAAACATTACCAATATGCATCAGCTAATAGATCAAATGAGCAGTTTTGCCAAAGTTGAAAAAAAGATGTAAACTACCTCTACTGTTCACCACGGCATTCAGACTATTTGTTTTAATGTACTCACCGTGAAAGATAAGTATGAAGTCTTGGAAATATCTCTGTGTCTGTGTTTTCCTCCCGAGATATTCCCCCAAATTCCTGAAGGCATGTCTTTTATACTCACCTCTCTCTCCCCCCCCCCACCCCTTCATTTCTACCTACCTCCTCCCCCTTAGCCCTCGCCCCCTCGCCCCCTCTCTCTCCTCCCTTCTCACACTATTCGCCTTCTTTTTCCACCGTTAGCCCGTATCAGCCCGGGGTATTAGCTCCCCCCCTTCCTGACTCCCACCGAAAAATACAGGGGGGGGGGGAAACAAGCAGGGGGGTAAACAGAGAGGGTGAGGGACGACTGGCACGGGACGGGGACATCTAACCTGCTTCATCGCAGGTACATGACAGTATTCACTGTTGTTTGCCGGCATGGCAGCGTGATACGAAAATACCATCCGTGCAGACACAACATGGACCGACTTGTTGGGCCCCATACGTCTCACCTGTCTCACCTGTCTCACCTGTCTCACCTGGACAGCAACACTTAGTTCTGGTATGATGTCATCTTACATGAGCATAGTGACCATTGTTTAAAGGCAGACTTTGAGGGTTGAACTATCCCTTTAACATTCATTGATGATCTCAAGCAGGCCGTGACCTCTGTGTTTGCGAGTGTAAAAACATGCCAGTCACCGTATCACTGCTGGTATTCCAGCAACACAACGACTGACTCAGCAGTACACCTACGTTAAAGTCACAAGGCACGACATCCATGTGGTGCGCATCACATTTGGCTGAGGCGGAACATCTGTGAATAGCTTGTGTGAAAGCGGACCCTCGCCAAAAAGCAAACAAACCAGAACAGGAGGACGGGCCATGGCAGGAATCAGCTGGTTCCCAGACAGACAGATAAACATTGAGGCAGATGCAAAGATGGAGATAAAACCCCGGCGACAGATAAGAGGAGAGATTCAGAGAGAGCACATGTCAGTGCAGCCGTGGGTGTTTTTTTGGCGCTGATGTGGTCATGTTGGGTCCTCCAGCACAGATATTAAATGTCAAACACAAAGCAGAGGGAGGGAGATGAATGACGGGGACTGTTTTGACTTTCTCAAAGACTTCAGTTAAGTAGTTTTGAAATCGTTCCTAAACTTAGAGACGGGCGAGGAGGAGAGGGCGAATGAGAAAAGGTGGAGCGGGTGATTGCATGGAAAAAAATAGTCAAACAGAGATTTTGTTTTTTCACCCTTCTCCTCCCAGCGTTCTCTCTAAAGCCATATTTCTGCTGTTCTCCTCGTGTGCATCTCCCTCTTTTTTTGTTTTTACCTTCACGCTACTTTTCCCCTTTTCTCACTCCCTCTCATGCAGTCAGTATCCTGCTCAGACCAGACACCCCCTCAGCCTTTTCCATGTCTACGCGCTGCAACAAAACATCCAGCTCTTGAGAAATGCTACCAATGCCGTGATCTTGTTGTTGTTTTTTTTGCAGACAGTGGAGTTTGATAAATGAAAAACAGAGATGAAAGTGGAAAAACAGGATGGGATACGCCCGGCGGAGCTGAGCATGATGGGTGTGACTAACAGGGAGCATCTGAGCAGTACATCTGAAGGGAAAAGGTCAGTACAGGAGCAGGAAATGATAAATGGCCAATTCAAGTGAGGCAGACGCAAAGTGACCTTGGAGGGAGGAAATGACTGGATCAGACTGTATGGAGGCTGGACATTATGATAGTCTGTGGTCGAGGGGGCGGGACGTGGATGGAAGAAGGAGGAATGGAAGGAAGGAATAAGCATTTGGCGGGAGAATTAATGCAGAAGGGGGGAAAAATAGTGAAAAGTGCTGGAATTTCGTAATGGGGGCATGACCTCAAATGTGTAAACTATCCACATAATGTCTGCAAAAACACACATTCTTACCTGTCTGGGCCAGCTCGTAATTCAGTGGTTAAGCAGGTGCACCCGTGGTTTACCAAGTGAGAACACAGATAAGCACTAATTCAACAACAACTCCCAAAACAAAGTTCAGCCCTAAACTGGCAAGGCCAGATATTTTTCCCGCCGCTATTTTTACGTCTCTATGTTTTCTTAATGGTCCGAGCTGTGATTCACTTGTTAAAAATTCCATTTTGAAAACAGCAGAGACGTTGAGGAGTGAGTGAGTCAGATAGAAAACATCATATGGTGTAAGCTCCGTCTGTGGGATGAAGGAGAGACATTACTCAGGACTGTCCTCCTCCTCCTCCTCTCTGATGGCCCTGTTGTCCTGCGGCTGTGAATTTTGCCGTGTGAATGTCAACATGTCACCGTGCAGATTTATGAGTGTTGCATAAGGCTGGTATCCTGAAGCACACACGGATCTTCATCCGTTTGTTTTGTTTGTTTTTTATGTTATTTTGTACAAATAAATAGTTTTATTATCACTGTTTTTGGGGAATGATCTTTTTTTTAACCTTCAATTCTTCCTTCCTTCTGGCGTCTCCCAGGCCTCATCACCTATGGACAGAATCCAGGGCCAGTGCAGGCGTGTGGTGAATACCATGTATCACTTGTTTTCTCAGGCTCAACCTCTCTCCTGTGCACCGACTCCCAGCCGAACCGTCAAGCCTGCATGTCCGTGCTGAAGAAACATGGAGGACAAACAAGTCAAATATTATCATTTGGCATTGGATGCACTGTGGCTGAAGTGAAAAACATGAATAATGCATTAAAAAGTATGCTTGCTCACCAAAACTGACCTTTTAAAGTTAGAGTTGTGTAGGATTGCATAGTGTTGCATGATGGTTCCTTTGGAAATTTTTCTTCATGAAAAGCTGCAAAGAGTTCAAGGAATAGTTCAACATTTGATGAGCTTTCTTGCCTGCAGAAGGTTAATACCACCCTCATGTCTGTGCAGTGAATACTAAGCTGGAGCCTGCCACCGGTGAGGGACTGTACACACATTGTTGAGGTGAGGAGAGGGCCTGAACCTTTTTTTTAAAATTAATTATTAATACATAAATAAAACAATCTCCCTGTTTATAGGCAGATTTTATTAACAGATCCAGTGTGGCTGTCCACCCTTGTTTGCAGTCGTTATGCTAAGCTAAGCTAACCGGCAGTAGTTCCATATTTACCACACTGTGCTTAACTCTGCACGAAAATGAATAAGCATATTTCTCAAAATGATATTTATTTTATCCATGCGCCTTAGCAGCTTGCAATAACTTTGTCCTAAAATGAGCCATTATTTTCCTATGTTCCTTAAATGCAACAGTGCAGTGCTAACCGTGTGCACGTCGCTAATGATGAAGAACATCTTCTGCCCTCAATGATGATTTAATTATTGTAGTTCCTGCTGTTGCATGACTGAAATATATTTGGACTGCTAATTCCTCTGCTTGAATCAATGTTTAGAGGTGGATTTCAGATCTTGAGCAGCAAATGACTCATAATGTTTGCACACTCTTATCCCCCCCAGAATGTCTAGTTCTCTCCAAACAAATCTCTTTCGAGCTGATCGGTGGTGGGGATAAGTGAACCGTCTCACCTCTTTCCCGCCAATCTCCTGCAATCTCGCGCTGCTGTAGCCAACCTGTTATTACGGAGAGATCACATAAGCACATATAACTCCAATTAGGAAATAGTTTGCGAACGAGGAAAATGGCACCAGGTTGAGTCCTGCATCATTTGGGGGTTTAATGTTCAGCGAGGGAAAGGTTTCACAAGATCGCTCTCTCTTCATCTGGAGCCCAGGCAGATAACACACACACACACACACACACACACGCACACCGCCTATTTCAAGACACGTAAAAGCTTCAAAATTCACGAGAAGGGTATTTGCTGACATATTCTATATCATAGAACAAAACAGCCAAATCTCGTCCACTTATGCTGATAACCACAGAGCTTATTTCAGGCATCTAACCAAAAACCCATTGACATCGAGACGAGGACATGCTACAATGCTAACTAAGCTCCATGTTTTACGACTCACTTCTGCAGCACTCTTTAAACTTGGATTTATAGTTGTTGTTTTTTTACTTTATTTAGGTCTCGATATAAAACTGCAACAACCAAATTTGCTTGGCTTTGGCATGTGTGCTGTTCAATTTTAAGCAGAGTCTAAATGATTTAAGTCTGTCTTCAATGCGTCAATAATGGGGGTCAATTCAGGAGACGCTGCACATCTGTGTGTGTGTGTGTGTGTGAGAGAGAGTAAGTGCGTGGATGTGTGTGTGTGTTTACGTGTTTCTGTTGCTGCGTAGCTCAGTATAATCTGCCTCTATTTCTCAGAAGAGCACCATCCAACTTTTTTCGTTTTATGTGGTGTTTACTTTGGTGCCCCACCGCTCTTCTGTTGTGCCAACTCTAACAAACCGACCTGCAGGGCATGCCACCAGCACCCACCTACTCCCGTCAGGAATCTCTCACACACACACACACACACACACACACACACACACACACACACACAC